TAAAAAATCAGACAATGTGATTTTCTGGATTTTTTTTTCTCATTTTGTCTCTCATAGTATATCTATGATGAAAATTACCGGCCTCTCTCATCTTTTTGAGTGGGAGAACTTGCACTATTGGTGGCTGACTAAATACTTTTTTGCCCCACTGTATGTCCTGACTAAAACTAGACTAAAATGTTGACAGTTTTTGTTGACTAAAACTAAACGAATAAAATTATGTGTTCTTGGACTAAAATTAACACTAAAATGCTCGACTTATAGTCGACTAAAACTAAATGATAAAAACTAACAAGCGATGCTGAAACTGGACTAAAACTGAAACTAAATTTAAAAATGGCTGGTAAAAATTAACACTATCCTGGAGAAATCCAGTCTGGACATTTTTACTGGAGTTTCTTCTGTTTCTTTGAATAAAAAGCGAACGCTGTGGCGCCTCCGCATGCCGGCATGGCTGGCCGACATGGTGGAGGCACCACCAACACTGCAAAAACAATCCAGAAATAAGTAAAAAAATTCTTAAATTAAGTATATTTACCCTTAATTTGAGCAGGTAAATAAGATGATCTGCCAATGGAATGAGTATTTTTACTCTTAAAATAAGATAGTTAGATAATATTTACTTGAAATAAGACGATAAAATAGTTTTTTCTTATTTTAAAAGGAAATTGTCTTGTTCCATTGGCAAAGTGTCTTACTTACGTCCTCAATTCAAGGAAAAATTCACTTATTTTAAGAAAAAATAACTTATTGAGGTTTCTATTTTTTGCAGTGAACTAAAACACTAAAAGAGAATTTAAATAGTTAAGAGCAGGGAGATAAAACCACTATAAATACCTTAAAAACACAAATAAGTTAAAGTGCCACAGTAAGAGTTTAAAAACCTGAAGAAAAAATGCAACTACTTCAAGCTGTTTTTTTTTCTCCAAGATTTGAATTTTCTCCTTTAAATGTAAGCAAGAATGCCACAAACAATATTTTTATTGGCCTGCCACTTCTGGGCTTAAGAACTGTCCCTGTGGTCTTCCATTTCCTTACTATGTTCCTCACAGTGGAAACTGACAGTTTAAATCTCTGAGACAACTTTTTGTATCCTTCCCCCAAACAACTATGATGAACACCCTTTGTTTTTAGATTATTTGAGAGTTGTTCTGAGGCGCCCATGATGAATCTTTAGAGGAGATTCAAACAGGAGATTAACTTGCAACTGGCCACCTTAAATACATTTTCTCATGATTGGATACACCTGGCTATCAAATCTTAATAAAGTTACGAAACCAATTTTGCGTTTCAGTAAGTCAGTGAAAAGTAGCTACGGGTATTCAAATCACTAAAATGATTAGGGTACCCACATTTTTGAACCTGTCAAGTTTTGTTTTAGTGAGTCTTGCACATTTTCTGGTAGTCCTCAATTCAATACCGAAATATTACTGTGTCCATCAGTTATTAGTTATATCAACCTGAAACAGCTATTGCAAAGACCTAAATATTTATAAATGAAAATAAGTAAGATCAATAGGGGTGCCCAAACTTTTTCATATGACTGTATAGCCATTCCTTTTTTTTTTTTCCAAATGGTTAATATTGATCTCAGGGCTGGATTACTAGTCTGCACATTGAATACACACTCTTACATCCTAATCTTTTTGGAGTTATAACAAGAAATGTGGGGTAGTCAGTTCCATGCCTTCACAGTCATCCACGAGTTTCCAGTAATTTCCTATAATCAGCTTCAAGCTGACCTTGAATGTAGTTGAACTTCAATCAATATCAACCAGCAGGAGATCACAAGTAATTTGACTTTGATCAGGGGGGTCATCACCGCTCATATTCTTAAAGAGCAAATTAGAAAAAGCTTCTTGCCAAATATTGTTTTACACAGATGAGGAATTTGTTTTAGTGATAACGTTTTCAACCTTGCCCTGCATGTTGTAGATGTCTACATTGTGTGCAGAATCTTTAGGAAAATGAGTATTTCAACCACATCATCCTTTTCATGCATGTTGTCCTACTCTAAGCTGTATAGAGGGATTATCAGGCAACGTCACTCTACGTCACTTCCGGCCCCAATGGGCATGTCGCCTGCAGAAAGAGCCGCTAACATGTCTTGTTGTGCTGTCGGTTGCACGAACCGTTTTGATAAAAACAATAAAACGCGCAAGTTTTACCGAATCCCATCAACTCGCACCCCTTTCAAGGCAAACAAGAGACGTCATTGGTTGCAAGCCATCAGAAGAAGCGATTGGAACGAGCAGATGATTAAAAATGCATCAATCTGCAGCGATCACTTTATATCAGGTAAGTCTTATCTATAAAAAAGCTAAACGGCATCGCTGATTTTACAAACAATGGTTTTACATACAATTATTAAGTATTACATATATAAACGGGATTAATGAATCTTACAAAACACATTGGAGGATAACTAGCATACAAGCTAATGTACCTTGATTCAGTCTTATCAAGTTGCAACTCATCGGGTCAGCCATAAGTTTTATCATTAACATCATCACGTTGTCTGGTCTAAACTTCTCTGTGTGTGCTGTCTTTTCAATTGATTGACTAATGTCTGTAATAAAGGTTGACGATGATGATGATTGCGTCAATACATTATTTGTACAGGAGAGGCATCAGACGACATCGACAACCCAGACTTTGTCCTGTCTATCTTTCCATACTCAATCCAGCCCGGCAAAGACGGTGTTGCAAAACTGGAGCGGTAAGTATCACATCTGTGTGCTTGATTGTTGTCTGATTACAAGCATGACTCCACATAGTATGAGTGGAAGTGCAAAGAAAAAATATTGATATATTGTAGCTATATAGGTTACCCGGGTTAAAGGTCAGAGCATGTAGTTTTTATTAGACATCTCATATGGAGAGTTGGGATGACTGAGCATGTGATTTGTATGGACTTGAATTTAGGAGATAACACCTGTGGAACTGTTTTGTTTTTTTGTTTTTTGGGGGTTTTTTTGCACTAAATGATTGTTCTCTCCTGTGTGTTTCAGATATAAGAGAAAAAGAAGAAGGGATGCAACCCCCAGCAGGTGTCCAGAAGATGGACATCACTGTACACCCTCTTCCATCTCTCCAACTGAGTGTGGAATAGAGGCTGGTGCTGATCTATATAATGGTATGAAACCTTATTACTATCCTAACTGTAAATGTATCCATGATGATGCAGACAGTTTATTGATATATTTCATTGATATTGATATATGTATATAAAGTTATTTACATTTCATATTAATTATTGTAAATATGATTGTATATTTATATTGTTTTACTGAGTGACAAATGGTTTGATTTATTTATGATTATTCTCATGATTATATTTACAAGCTTGTTCTTGCGCTGTTTTGAGAAGACGTTATTTCACCAACGTCCGTCTTGGGTTACCATGGAAACAAACTCCAACGCCCGTCTTTCATGGAAATCAACGGAGGTTTTTCACATTACTCACAAACATTATAAGCTGAAGTTTGTTGAGTAAAAACCAAGGACAGCATCAAGGACAATCACCTTTTAATTCCCGGATAATTCCCTCATTGTGGCATGCAGCCAACGAGGTATTTTATTATTTGTATATAACGTTACATTGTTTCATTCTGTTGTAAGCCAGCTACAATGTACACTGTGTGGTTTGATGGTAGCTAATTAGTTAATTGTATCAACTGTATTGTTCTGTACAGTTTTCACGGTGCTAATGAAGATTTGGAGGCTTCATTAAATCAGTTCAAGAAATCAATTTGTGCTCGTCGTGCCTGAGGGGAATTACAGTGAAAACTCGGACTGTTTCACCGACGCAAGTGGGACAGAAGATGGCGCCAGAGTCCTTTTCATCGAACATGGGACAGCGCAAGGAACTCCATAACAGCGCAAACTGAAGGCTAAACTCAGCTCGCATCTCACAAACACATAAAGGCAAGAAGATTGCATAAGAGCTACATTTGCATAAAGAAGCCATAAGGAGCTTGGACACTTTACAAGTTGGTGATCTAAGAAAGGGCAATTTTGTAAATGTGCTATTAGTTATTGTGTAAGTGAAGTGTGTGTTGATAGAGAGTAATAATAATAAGCACCCACATATCACATGTTTTGCAATGTTTTTAAGTATTTCATTGACTGTAACCTATATATGGTGTGATTTTCAAGATAACAAGGTCTGACTTAATTCCCTTTTTGCAAGTATTTAAATAAGTGTGCTTTGAGGTTTAAAGTATAATTTCATTGTTAAATCTTATTTGAGGCATTTAAATTAATAAGGGGTTTAATCTACATAAGTATAGGTTATTTTAGAAAAACAATTCTAAAAATTATAAATAATCACACAGCAAGCAGCCATAGTATAAATAGGCTTACAGATTTATTAGATTTACATATTCAGTTTGTGTACAACATGTCAGTGTACAACATGTCAGGACAAGGAGAGCTTACTGATCAAGTAGAAGAGCAGGTTACTGGTCAGGTTAGGGATAAAACTCGTGACAAAGAAGATTCCCAAAAGCAGCCTGAAAAGAGTCAAGTCGGTGATACTGCTGAAGAACACACAGTAAGACGAAGTGAAAGATCCAGAACTCTGACAGAGAAGGGTAGAGGAATGCAGGAGGAAAAAATTAAAGGTCTTTAAGACAAGTTCAGATATATGTATGGTAGATGGAGAAATCACATTAAATACTCAAAGAAAACATTATCAGAAGCAACAGAGTATCTGATGATATGCTCAACCATGTCATCGATGACGTTCATAGTCTCTCTGCAGATGTCCAGTGTGTTTATAATGAACTTCGGACAATCGAAACTCCAGATCAGGAAACACGTCGGAAAGTTGATCTGTGTGTCCATGTATCTCAGTTCATCATAGACAGAGCCTCAAGACGACTGGGTGGGCTTACACCTGATGAAGAAGATGACTGGCCTGAAGCAGGTTCTCTGTTCAACTCTAGTATCAGTTCTCTCATCTCAGACTCGAAGAGGACCTCACTACACACAAATGGGTCCACTGAAAGACGACAAGAAGCTGCTGCTGATGCCGCTGCAAGACAAGCCGTTCTCAAGGTGTCACAAGAACAAGAAAGAGAACAACGGGAAATACAGCGACTGAAAGAAGAAGCTCAGAAGAGAATAGCTGAACAAGAGGCAGCAGCTGTAAAGCGTCATTTGGAAAGAGAAGCAGAGGAGTTGAAAATAAGAATGGAACAAGAAGCAGAAGAGTTGAAATGGAGAATGGAACGAGAAGCAGAAAATCTAAAAAGAAGAATCCAGAGAGAAGAGGAGGAAGCTAAAATCAAGGCTCAACTAGAAGCGGAACACACAGCTCTCCAAAGGACGCTGGATGAGAGGCAAAGAAAGGTACAGCATTTGGAGACAATGAAAGGTCTAAATGCAGCACAAGCGAGAATACAAGTGTATGACCAAGTGGAGGTCACAGAAGAAGAGAAGAAAGATATCATACTGAAGAGTGAATTGAGAACAGTCAATCAAGTGCCTGATCCCACAAGCCCTCCATCCACGTATGTGTTTTCTGCACCAAGGACTGTGATCACCTCTCCAAATGAAAGTACAGCAGAGCTCGTTAAGGTGCTAGCAGATGCTGTGAGTACCAACAGAATCCCAATCCCCGAACCATCAGTATTCAGTGGGGATCCATTGATGTACAGTGACTGGAGACTGTCATTTAAAACGCTGATCGACCAGAAGAACATCCAGGAAAATGAGAAGATCTACTACCTCCGCAGGTATGTGGATGGAGATGCAAAGAAAGCGATCAATGGCTATTTCCTACTCGGCACAGCGTCTGCCTATGTTGCGGCGTGGGAGCTCTTGGACGAGAGATATGGAAACCCATTCACAATCGCACAGTCGTTTAGAGACAAGCTCCACACATGGCCCAAAATGGGACCTAAGGATTGCTTCGAACTCAGAAGGTTTACAGATTTTCTCCGCAGTTGTGAGGCTGCTATGACTCACATAAAGGCTCTGGAAATCTTGAATGACTGCAACGAAAACAGGAAGATTCTCTCCAAGCTACCAGACTGGTTAACGGCCAGGTGGAATCGGAAGTCTACTGAAATAGAAGAACAGAACGGCCAGTTCCCCACCTTCAGCCAGTTTGTTGCATTCCTAATCAAAGAAGCAAAGATCGCCTGTCACCCCATCACCTCTCTGCAGTCACTTAAGCAAGGCGAAGCAGAGAGCCCAAGAGGCAACAGGAACAGGACGATGGGAGCAAAGGTACTGGCTACAAGCTCAGATGAAAAGGAGGTCATGACATGTGTCTTCTGCAAGAAGCATGGACACACCTTGCTCAAATGCAGAAAGTTCATGAAGGAGGAAGTTCAAGAGCGAACAACCTTTGTTAAAGAAAACAAGCTGTGCTTTGGTTGTCTCAAGCCTGGCCACTACTCAAAGAAATGTAGCAGTAGAAGTGAGTGTGATGTGTGCCACAAGCAGCACCCTACCTGCCTGCATGTGGATAGAGCCAAAGGTGACAAGAAACCAACACAAGCTAAGGAAAGGCAAAGTCAAAGCCAAGAGGAAGCTGAATCGTCGCCTCCTGAAGAAACAAGCACAGCTGCTACTGCATACAGAACGATCTCTGGTGAGGCTGGCACACATACCTCTGCAATACTTCCTGTCTGGCTCTCATCTACAACCTGCCCAGAAGAAGAAGTCCTTGTGTATGCGCTACTGGACTCTCAAAGCGACTCAACCTTTATTCTAAGTGAAGTAGCTGACAAGCTGAAAGCCAACAAAGACCAAATTAAGCTCAAGCTCACTACGATGACTGCAACCTCAACAGTAAACTCCCAAAGAGTGAACAATCTACAAGCCCGTGGCTTCTACTCACGAAAGAAGATCTCCCTACCACCAGCCTATACAAGGGAGTTCATTCCAGCCAACAGAGCTCACATACCTACAAACGAAAAGGCAAAAGCTTGGTCCCACCTGGAGCACCTTCAGGAAAAGATCTCACCTCTACTGGAATGTGAAGTAGGCCTGCTCATCGGGTACAACTGCTCACAAGCACTTCTACCAAGAGAAGTTGTATCTGGCAAAACAAACCAGCCCTACGCACAACGCACAGACCTTGGATGGAGCATCGTGGGGTGTGGAAGTCCCTGTGTAGACTATGGAGATGCCATCGGAACGAGTCATTGTATAGAAGTGAGACAAGTGACACCAGATGTTGAGTCTTCTATCAACCTCCGAACGGAAGTACACTATATAAACCGATTCAAGGTGAAAGAAGTGACCACTTCAGAAATCATTAAGGTCCTCGAGTCTGACTTCTCAGAAAGAGCCAAGGAAGATAATCCCATCTCACAAGACGATATGAAGTTCCTGTCAAAGCTGAAAGAGAACATCACACAAAAGGAGAACGGTCACTACGAGATGCCCTTACCATTCAAAAGGGAGCGACCAGAGCTACCTAACAACAAGATAAGTGCAATACACCGCCTGAACTGTCTTGAAAGAAGACTAAAGAAAGATAAAAACTACTACAAGGATTACTGTACCTTTATGGAGGATATCATCTCTCGTGGTGATGCAGAAAGAGTCCCTGAGGAAGAAATCAACAACAGCCCAGCTTGGTACATCCCTCATCACGGAGTGTATCATCCGCAGAAACCAGGAAAAATTCGTGTCGTTTTTGACTGTTGTGCCCGGTTCCGAGATACATCCCTTAATGACCATCTCCTCACTGGTCCTGACCTGACAAACGCACTGGTTGGTGTCCTGTGCCGCTTCCGAAAGGGCCCTGTTGCAGTCATGTGTGATGTCGAAAGAATGTTCCACCAGTTTCAAGTAAGAAAGGATGATCAAGACTATCTACACTTCTTATGGTGGGAGAATGGCTGCATGGATACAGTACCATCAGTCTACAGAATGAAAGTCCACCTGTTTGGGGCAGCATCGTCCCCTGGCTGTGCCAACTTTGGCCTCAAACATCTGGCAGCACAAGGAAAAGGTCAGTTCAGTGAAGAAACTAAACGCTTTATCCAACGAGATTTCTATGTGGACAACGGTCTGACAAGTGTGGAAAATGAAGATAAAGCCATACAACTTGTCAGAGAATCAAGAGAACTTTGCAGCACTGGGAAGTTGAGACTACACAAGTTTGTCTCAAACAGCAAGAATGTCATGGCGGGCATCCCAGAAGAAGAATGTACTGCAGTGAAAGAACAAGACATGGACTTCGGAGTACTACATGTGGAGAGAGCTCTTGGAGTAGAGTGGTGCGTTACATCAGACACTTTCCAGTTCAGAGTCCAAGTAAAGCCCCATCCACTGACAAGAAGAGGTCTGCTCTCAACCGTAGCCTCCATTTATGACCCCCTGGGGTTCGTGGCACCCTTTGTCCTCGTTGGGAAGCAAGTTCTCCAGCAGATGTGCCGAGACAAAGCCGACTGGGATGAAGAACTATCAGAAGCCCTAAGACCTCAATGGGAGTCATGGCTCAGAGACCTACCCAATCTGTCTGAGACACACATCAGGAGATGCTACTTACCTTCAGATTTCGGCAACGTCAAAAGCTACGAACTTCACCATTTCGCAGATGCAAGCGTCTCAGGATATGGCGAATGTAGCTACCTGCGATCCATCAATGAATCTGATGAAGTCCACTGCTGTCTCGTAATGGGAAAGGCAAGAGTTACTCCAACAAAAGTCACAACAATACCCAGACTTGAACTCGCTGCAGCAGTTGTTGCAGTTCGAACCAGCGATATGCTCCGGAATGAGCTCGAAATCCAAGATCTACAAGAGTTCTTCTGGACAGATTCCAGAGTTGTTCTTGGCTACATAAACAACGATGCTAGAAGATTTCAAGTCTTTGTCGCCAACCGCATCGAAAGAGTCAAGTCAAGTACAAAGCCTGAACAGTGGTCCTATGTTGCTTCTGAGGACAACCCTGCAGATCATGCCTCTCGAGGTTTGACTGCAGACCAACTAAAGTTCTCAAACTGGTATACCGGCCCGAAGTTTCTTTGGCAAAGAGGTCCACTGCAGAGAGAATGCAAGGTGGGAGAAGTCAACGAAGATGATCCCGAACTTCGTAAGGCTCTTGTGTGCAATACTGAGACAAAGGAAGAGAGATCTTTATTAGACCACCTGAAGAAGTTTTCAGACTGGACAAGAGCTGTAAAAGCAGTTGCAAGATTACAGCGAATGGCCAAAGAACACAAAGGTCTGAAGCAACGCACCAATGAAAGTACAAGCATCGAGGAAAGGACAGAAGCAGAGCTTGCCATCATTAAGCTAGCTCAAAAGGAAGCATTCCCAGCTGAGATCAAAAGACTCAAGCAAAAGCAGGAAATTGTAAAGACCAAAGAAAGTAAGCTACAGAAGTTAAGCCCCTTCCTGGATGAAGAAGGGATCCTCAGGGTGGGAGGACGTCTAGGTCAAGCTGCACTACACCCACACATAAAGCATCCAGCAATTATTCCACGGAAAAGCCACATATCATCCTTACTCATCAAGCACCACCACGAAAAGATCCAACACCAAGGACGTGGAATGACAACAAACGCACTCAGAGCTAATGGATGGTGGATCCTGGGATGCAGCAGTGCTGTCTCATCACACATCTACAAATGTGTGAAGTGCCGAATATACAGACGACGCACCGAAGAACAAAGAATGGGCGACTTACCTCAAGATCGAATGGAAGCAGCTCCACCTTTCACGTACACTGGAATGGATTGCTTCGGCCCAATCGGCATTAAAGAAGGAAGAAAGGATCTCAAAAGATATGGACTCATACTTACCTGTCTATGTTCAAGATCCATTCACATAGAAGTAATCGACGATATGACAACCGACGCATTCATCAATGCACTCAGATCATTCATTGCCATCAGAGGAAACGTTCGCCAACTGAGATGCGACCAAGGGACTAATTTCGTTGGTGCAAGGAGAGAGTTTGCAGAACTCATGAAAGGAATGAATGAAGAGAGACTGAAGGCTCTAGGATGTGAGTTCCTCATGAATACTCCTGTGGCAAGTCACATGGGTGGCATATGGGAGAGGCAGATAAGAACGATAAGGAGCATCTTGACTGCAGTTCTGGACCAGTCTGCACAAAGGCTCGACAGCACCTCTCTCCGGACTTACCTGTATGAAGTCATGTCCATCATCAACAGCCGGCCACTTACCGCTGAACATCTGAACGACCCATCTGGACCTGAACCACTAACCCCGAACCACATTCTGACTATGAAATCAACAATCATTCTTCCCCCACCTGGACAATTTGTCAAGCAAGATCTCTATCTACAAAAGAGGTGGCGCCGAGTCCAGTATTTGGCCAATGAGTTTTGGAACAGATGGAGGAAAGAATATCTTCTCAACCTGCAACAAAGACAGAAGTGGTGTAAAACCAGAAGGAACTCAAAAGTCAATGACATCGTCCTTCTCCATGACGAACAGACACCACGCAACAAATGGAAACTAGCAAGAGTCACTGAAGTCTACCCAGGGAAAGATGGTAGGGTCAGAAAGCTGAAGCTGCTAGTTAGCCACACCACATACAATAGCAAAGGGAAAGCTACAACGAGTAAGGTGTATTTAGAGAGACCTATACACAAAGTTGTTACTTTGATAGAAGCAGATTAGATGCAATACGTGAGTTTATTTAGCTTACCTTTGAGAAATATCCTTTGATGATATGATATGGTACCTGCTATAACTCTAAGAAATCCCACATACTGTTAGTTTGTGTAATTTGGTGGGAGTGTAAATGTATCCATGATGATGCAGACAGTTTATTGATATATTTCATTGATATTGATATATGTATATAAAGTTATTTACATTTCATATTAATTATTGTAAATATGATTGTATATTTATATTGTTTTACTGAGTGACAAATGGTTTGATTTATTTATGATTATTCTCATGATTATATTTACAAGCTTGTTCTTGCGCTGTTTTGAGAAGACGTTATTTCACCAACGTCCGTCTTGGGTTACCATGGAAACAAACTCCAACGCCCGTCTTTCATGGAAATCAACGGAGGTTTTTCACATTACTCACAAACATTATAAGCTGAAGTTTGTTGAGTAAAAACCAAGGACAGCATCAAGGACAATCACCTTTTAATTCACGGATAATTCCCTCATTGTGGCATGCAGCCAACAAGGTATTTTATTATTTGTATATAACGTTACATTGTTTCATTCTGTTGTAAGCCAGCTACAATGTACACTGTGTGGTTTGATGGTAGCTAATTAGTTAATTGTATCAACTGTATTGTTCTGTACAGTTTTCACGGTGCTAATGAAGATTTGGAGGCTTCATTAAATCAGTTCAAGAAATCCATTTGTGCTCGTCGTGCCTGAGGGGAATTACACTGACCAAGACGGCCTGCAAACTCATTTGGATTTTTATAAAGGGACGTAGATCTGTGTGTTCCTAAATGTTAACATATTAATTATTGCAGAATAGAATAGTCACTAGTGTACGGAAGAGGTATAGGGCCACTGGAAAAAAAAAAAAGTAAACTGATTTTTAAATTTTATTTCAGTTTAACATGGGAACAAAGTCAGAATTCTGAGATTAAAGTCAGAATTCTGACTTTTTTCTCAGAATTCTGACTTTTTTCCCATATTATACTGAAATAAAATAAACAAAAACAGTTAACTTTTTTTTTTTTTTTCCAGTGGCCCTTATCCTCTTCCGTATTAGTGGGATTAATCAGTTAGTAATGTTTATATTTGTTGCAAACAGGTATTTGCCCACAGTGTGACTGATCACCCAGAATGTAACTATTTGTTTTTTGTAAAGATAAGCATGTAAAATTTGTATTTATTTTTCAGAAGGTATGGTCCAAAAGACTGTCCATGATGACCTCCAGCTGAAGTACAGCCAACTTCATACAGAGTGTGATAACCTGCGTGAGGACATCAACAAACTGAAAACAGAATGAACAATTAAAAGAAATGCTCGGGACTGCACAGTTCTCTTTTGCGTCACTGAAGTGTAAAGCAGCACAGGTGCTGTTTTTCACAGGTCTAACCAGTGCCCTCTTTAATTGGGTCCTGCAGACAATTAAGGACAGTGTTGAGGTCATCCGTGGCTCTCTGACCCTAGAAGATCATCTTTAGGCTGTACTCATGAAACTCAGATTAGGACTCACCAACAAGGATATTGCATTCAGATTTAATGTTAACGAATGTGACATCTCTAAAATCTTAAGAAGTTGGCTGCCTATTATGTCTCAGATTTTGAAACCTTTAATCAAGTGGCCAAGTAAGCATGCTATTTTAAAGAATATGCCAAAATGTTTCAAACCTAAATACCAGTGTTGCAGGTGCATTATTGACTGCACAGAAATTTTTATTAACAGACCAACAAATTTAACAGCCAGAGCCCAAACATATTCAAATTATAAGAGCCGTAACACAGTTAAGTATTTGATTGGCATGTCACCTGCAGGAGCAATTACATTTCTGTCTGCAGGTTGGGGTGGGCGTGTTTCTGATAAACAACTTACAGCCGAGTCTGGATTTTATGACCTTCTACAAGTAAATGATGAGATACTAGCAGATCGTGGTTTTACCATTAGAGATGAGCTTGCCTTGCGTGGTGCTACCCTGAGGATCCCTCACTTTACCAAAGGTAAAAGGCAGTTGTCTGCTCAAGAGGTGGAAACATTGAGGCGTTTGTCCAATGTTAGAATACACATTGAAAGAATAATAGGGAGATGGAAAACTTTCCGAATTCTTACTACTGTTATTCCTTTATCACAGGTGGACCTGTTAGATGACATTGTAATTGTTTGTGCAGCATTGACAAGCATTTGCAAATGCATAGTCCCTAGAAAATAAATTAAAAGCCCTTAATTGAATTGTGCCAAAATTAAGACATCTATGAATTGAGGTTTAAATGTCATTGAATATTATTTTTTTGAAAAAAATGATTGCCTAAGTATTTTCACTGCATAAGCTCATTGAACATTCAAAAGCTGTGGTTTAAAACATTTTGCAGCAGTTTTGGTTCAAAATGTGTGTTGTATCCAGTTTGCTTTTGAATATTGAGATTTTTCCTCATTCCTCTGTTGTATGATATATTTCAAAATCTTAAATGAAATATGCAGATATTTTGCTTTGTGTTTTGCCATTGAAAAGAAAACAATTCAATCAGCTGATACCTGTGTAAACCCTGTGTAAATATTAATAAAGTATTCAAGAGTCAAGGAAACATTGAAATATATTTATTCTTGTGCATGTAACCAATAATAAAAATAACAATATTAAACAATCTTGTCATAAGATGCACACTGAGAACCTCTATGTTTAAGAGTGCATTTTTTCTAGTTTTTCTGTTTTTTGCGCTGATCACAATACCATTCTCTAGCCTTTCTTTTTACTTTTGCACATTCGTAATGGAAATGCCTATTGCACTTTGCACAGGTGGGAATGAATGTCCGGCCACTGAATTTTGGGCCATTTTTTCTCGTCATTTATCCACTCACCGGCATGTAACGCGTATGGGTCATTAAGACGTATTCCATTAACTAGTGTTAATTTAGCAGCATAACTTATTTTATCACTAGGTGATAAACTGTTGTAGAACGCTGACAACATCGCTAGTTAGCAGATCGCAACTGCTAAATAACCGCGTATAATCACAACATTCGACCAGACACTTTAAAGGACCCGGCACTTTTTGCAGTCAAGATGCGCGCGCATCCGCCGTGTTGATAAACAAATAATCCCTCTATAGGATTGAAAGCCAACTACCAATTAAGTAAATCAGGTGGTGTTTATCTATGTAACGAGAAGGGGTGTGGCCTAATGACATCAACACCCTATATAAGGTTTGCTTAAAGCTACAGTGTGTAACTTTTGGCGACATCTAGCGGTCAGACTGCAGCAACATGAACATCTCCCCCCACCGCTTCTCCCCCCCAACAGTACGGCGAGCGTTCAGAACAAAATGTCTTCCACGACGTCCGCATCACCTACCTTCTCAAGTGATGAGGTTTGTTTACATAGATAATTTTACAGATAGTATTTCATTAGTTTGTGTAGGGTATAGATTTCATGTAGACTTAAGATAATAAATATAGCCGTTATTTTTTCTACATCGTTGTGACGTTTTGGCGATCTCGCAATCGCTAGTTTGTTGGCTCTGCGCTGCCGTAGCGCAAAGATGTCTGCCTCCATGGCTGCAAGACCCGCTCCTATGTAATTATAAATAACGAATTCTAAGGCAACGCAAATATTATGGTTAAGAGGCTGAGCTCGTAGATGTTGATAAATAACATAGTTATGTATAATATATTACATTTCTGACTGTATATCCCTGTAATTATTACACACTGTAGCTTTAATTATTAGGCAACTTCCTTTCCTTTGGCAAAATGGGTCAGAAAAGAGATTTGACAGCCTCTGAAAAGTCAAAAATTGTCAGATGTCTTTCAGAGGGGTGCAGCAATTTGGAAATTGCCAAGCTTTTGTCATCGCACAATCAAGCGGTTCATGGCAAATAGCCAACGGCGGCGCAAGAAGCTTGTTGAAAAAAGGAGATGCAAAATAACTCCCCATGAATTGAGAAGGATCAAGTGTGAAGCTACCAGGAAGCCATTAGCCACCAGTTGTGCCATAGTTCAGAGCTGCAACATCTCTGGAGTGCCGAGAAGCACAAGGTGCTCAATACTCAGGGACCTGGCCAAGGTAAGGACAGCCGAAAAAAGGCCACCTTTGAACAAAACACACAAGACAAAATGTCAAGATTGGGCCAAGAAATATCTGAAGACTGATTTCTCCAAAGTGTTTTGGTCTGATGAAATGAAAGTGAGTCTTGATGGGCCGGATGGATGGGCACCAGAGGGGGTACAGGAGAGTGCCCCTCCTGGGGACTCCCTTGTTCTTCTGGGGGACTTCAACGCTCACGTGGGCAATGACAGTGAGACCTGGCGAGGCGTGGTTGGAAGGAATGGCCCACCTGACCTGAACTCGAGCTGTGTTCTGTTGTTGGACTCCTTTGCTCATCGTCGATGTCCATAACGGACACCATGTTCAAGCATAAGGGTGACCATATGTGCTCTTGGCACCAGGACAGATTCCCCTGGAGGAGCTGGCCCAAGTGGCTGGGGAGAGGGACGCCTGGGCCTCCCTACTGAAGCTGCTACCCCCGCGACCCGACCTCGGATAAGCGGAAGAAGATGGATGAATGGATTCCCACAATCCAATGTGGCACTAGCAATCTTAAAAATATGTTGGCCCTATTTTAAAAAGTCCTAGGGCTCCTTACAGTGGCGTACACAGACATTTTGTGTTACCACGTTTTGACTCCCAAGATGGCACTTTAGCACACATTTTGGCTTCTAAGATTTCCTTTACCATGTGTTTTGGCTCCCAACTGGGCACTTCAGTAGTGTTTCCCACAGGATTTTAGGAGACTGTGGTGGGAGAGTCTCTGACCCTTGGGGGTTTTGCACATTTTTAAGCATGGTGTATACCACGTAAAGGGGAATGCCATTTTTTTTTTTTACATTTGGCCCTTGATTTTACGTTATGACATCATGTTCTACTCACCCTTATGAGTTTTGTGTCATTTAAAGCTGTTCTGAAGATATTCCGTTAGGTTATATCCAAGTAACATCTTCCTTTGGGCAACGAGTTCAAGGCACAAAGTAAACTGTTGACAAGTTGATTAGGTGACTGTTGCCGTTATTCAAGATATCATTTCAAATTCAGTTATTTATTTTAGACCAAATAATATTTTACATTTACATCCCGCTCGCTCCCTGAGGGTAAACATGCTGTGGCTCTGACAGCAGCGCTGAGAGGGACTCCTGCTGGGTTGGGACGGGGGAGGCGCCCCACGGCAGCACCTGCTGCTGGAGGTTAAGAGTAGGAACGATACTCGCTTTTTTGAAAAAGAGTCACTGGAAGGGTCTGAAAAGTTGCTAAATATAGCGACATAGTCACTGAGTTGGCAACAATGCGGGCGAACCGGGGCTGCATTTTAATATAGGAGGGTGGGACACGCGCTTCGAAGAAAAAACTGGCAGTTGGAGTTGGTCTCACCGGGGAGTAGAACCGCTACTGACCATCTATGAGCGTGACGTGCCTTCTTCCTGTCGCTTGGTTACGGCTGTAAACAATTTGTCCCTATGGCGCTCGGTTACGGGCGGTATGAAAGTACAGCTGTGGAATGATCTGATAAACTGACAGATCTTTTTTTTGTTGTTGCTTTCTCTCTCTCTGTCTATATGAGACTGTGGCAGGCCACCACAGTCTTATTCATTAATGGGAAACATTGCTTTAGTATAAGTCTAGACTCATCAGAAGGTACTGCAACATTCGTTTTGGTACCCAAGGTTGCAACATTTTGGCCCTAAAGGAGGCACTTTAGCATGTGTTTTGCCCCCCAAGAGCTCACTTTAACATGCATTTTAGCTCCAGAGAGAACACTTTAGCACAGACTTAGGCTCAGTGCATGTCACTGGCTCCTAACTAAATTCAAATTAAGTTAGCATTTGAACAATTGTGTTGATGTTTCAGTCATGAGAGAATCGACTCCCTGATTGCTCCTTAAAGTGAACAACAGGTGTTGAGTCCTGGTTTGGAGCTTTTTCTCACACTTTTTTTCCCTAGTGAGATATTGGTGACAGAGTTAGTAGATCTCATTTAATCCAATGATAAATCTACAGTTTCCACATATTATTCTACACAGGGATCTGTTTAGGGAAAAGTATGGAGAGAACTATGGGGCAGTTAATTTGCAATCATTCCATTTTCTTTTAACAGGTTATCAGGGGAGAGCGCGAACGCAGTCCCCCACTACCAGAAATTATGCAGTCGAGATTCCCACATTTGGGGAATTCGCAGGGGTCAGCACAACCAGAGTGCAATGGCTGAGCCTCACCCTGGGTGAACCACCTTCTTGATCATGGTATCTCCCCTGCCAGGTAAGTATGAGTTGCTCAGCTCACACACCGGGATTCATTTCACACACACACTTAAATGACTAATGGTCTAAATACACCATCAACTAGCAGGACCATGTAAAGCCTGAAGGCAGCCATCCTACACCAGTTAAAGTCTTTCTGACCTGCTTGGGTATAAAAAAGTACGGAGCCCCCTAGGGGACATGGGGATTTTTTTTTCTTTTGCGTTACCTCGCAAAACTTTTGCGTTCCCTCGCAATACTTTTGCGTTCCCTCGCAATACTTTTGCGTTACCTCGCAATACTTTTGCGTTCCCTCGCAAAACCTTTTGCGTTCCCTCGCAAAACCTTTTGCGATACCTCGCAATAGGGCTTGGTCGTCGTGACCATGTTGACGGCGCACTTTACGGCTTCCTTAGACTATTGCCTGTGTTCTCCCTCTCAGCCGTGTTTTATTTCGTTTAATTTCACCGTAACTTGATTTCAACCATGGTAAACCGTTGCAGTATTGTGGGCTGTAACAGCGCATCACATGATCGCCGAGGGAAAAACCTACAAAATGGGATAACTTTCCACCGCTGTCCTGCCTGGAGGCGCAAACACGGAGACCAAGTTTCACAGATAACAAAAAGTCGTCGGCTAGCTTGGATCGCGGCTGTAAGACGACAGAACAGAACTTTCCACAGTATCCTGATGTCAATGCGAGTGTGTTCCCTGCATTTTCATTCTGGTAAGTTAAAGATGCACGGTTTTATTTTATAGCCTACAGCGTTTCCTTCCTTCATCCGTGGCAACACATACAAGCATGAACGCGCGCCCAGAGATTGTTGATATAGCATTTTCATCCTCGTTGGTTGATATAGCATTTTATCCTCTTTGGTAGAACACACTGCCAGTTCCTACAAGGACAGGGACATCCCTCTCCATTTTCAAAAAAAACCCTGAGGTTGACAGCTGTCATAGCACCACTTATAAATTTTGCTGATCCTAGCGCTTACCAGCCGTCTTGTAATGTAATGTAATCATATAATACAATATAATAATGTGTATATTGAGGATCATTGATAACATTATGGTTCTATATGTGTTCAACACTGCTGCTGTGGATAATAATTTTAAATTGTGTCACCAGGAAAACCAGCAAATGAAATGTACACCTCACATCCGGATTGGGCACCATCACTACACTTGGGCCACACTGAGATAAAGGCCACACAGACTGCACGCTATGAGAGACAGGAAAAGAGAAAACGGCAAAGGACTGACAGTACACCTGCGAGGATGAGACAGCTATTGATGACCTTGTTCCACCCGGTAAGCCTTACAGAGCCAGCAGATTCAACACCGTATGTTGCTTTTGTGGCTTTTTCAGCTGCATGATGCACATTTAGCTAAAAGAGGTCCTTATTTTATCCATAGTGGAGACACCAGCACCAGCTGAGGATGGAGCTGAGCAGACACCGCTGACAGAATGTGACTTCTGTCAGCGCCGGCGTGCTGAAATCAACCGGCTGCTGGAGGAGAACAGGACCCTGAAACGTGAGCTTGGCCAGAGAAAAATGGATGAAGATTTCCTGAAGGAAGACACCGTCAAAGTGAAATACTACACTGGACTTCCACACCTTAAAGTCAACCACTTTATTCTGGTGTTTATGAATTACTGTATTAAAGAAAAGATTGATGCTCAATATGGAATTGACGATTTCTTTGTATCAACAATACACTCTAAGCAAACATTTAACAAGTGGGTTGTTTTTTAGCCATAGGTGTGTTTTGCATCCATACCCAAAAGCAAGAGGTCTCAAACGATCAGATCCTTTTCAGTGTTTATTTGCAAGTAGTGAAACTTGAGAACACAGTGTAGCGCAGAACAGTGCAGTGCAGTTTGAATGCTTGTAGGTAAATGGTTACAAATAAAAAATGGACGCGATGAAAATGCAGTGCAATTACTTACAATAACATAGTATGTATTTATACAAAATGTTCAATCCTATTAATAAGTCGGTCTTAATGAAACATCAATGGAGAAATTGAAAGTGGAGATATTGCAAATTATTATTATACAAATTGTAGTTATAGTAAACATTAACAGTTAAACACTGTTAGTGCAAATTCTTATATAAGTATTTATAATAATATGCATTACTTAAATTGTATAAATAAAGGCTGCGATGCAATATGTCATGATATACAATAATAAAATCTATAATTGTATAATATAACAACGTGCAATAATATGCAAATATAACAATACAATGTAATAATACAAAATACTATGCTTTTTATAAAAAATGTCTATGTATAAAAAAAATTCCAAAGTAATAAAAAATACGTATTTATGAAACATCAATTACAAACATAAAAATTGGAGGTAGATCAAATTAAGTAATAACAGATATCAATAACATTTGAAGTAGTGCAAATTATTACCGGTACTATAGTACACATTAAAAAACAATGTTAGTGCAATGTCTTATATAATTACTTTTAACAATATGCATTTCTTAAATTGTATAAATAAAGGCTGCGATGCAATATGTCATGATATACAATAATATAATCTATAATTGTATTGTAATATAACGACGTGCAATAATATGCAGCTGCAATGTCTTTCACTGTCTCACAGTGCTGGAGAAGGACAGCTGGTGGAGCATTTTCAAACTTTGGGTCGCGCAGACGGTCTTGCAGGGGTTTTGGGATCACAGCTGGCTGGACAGGAGCAGCATAGTTGTGAAAGTAGGACTTCACTGTGGACATACAAACTGACCTATGGTTCTGAAGAACAGGGAACATTGACGATAAGTCGTCCAATGTGGCTTGGGCAGTGCGTCTGCTGGCCCGTGTCCGTAGGCCAGGCATGGGAATGTTGTCATCGATGACTCTGTCCAGAGCAATCCTCTGCGCTTTGGATGAAGTGAAGTCCATCTTGTGGGCGACTTCACCGCTGACTTTGTTGATAACTGCTGGTATTTTCCAATAAGCTGGCACATCTGTCACAGTCTTTTTCCCACGGATGCGGACTGCTGCCTCAATCATAAACAGCAGAGCCCCAACATGTGTACATGCCTCTGCAATTCCAGCCATGCATGTACAGTGTGCACAGCAAACCTGCCCATCGTCAGCAATGATGACCCATGGCTTCAGGGGAGTCTCATTAATGCGCTGAGAGTGCAAGACCTGAGGAGAAAAAAAATAGACATAAATTATGCAGGTAAGGACACCATTATATTTCATTCTATGCAGGAAAGCAAACGTTAACCTCAACCCCTCATGCATGTGTATACATATCATATAAATCACAGTTATACAACAGTAAAGTATAACAACCACGCTGTTATATTGTTATATCACTTAAAAGAAAAATAAATGAAATGAGCACAGGACATTTAAACCTGCATAATACCTCTGACTGAATGATTTAAGCTCAAAGTTACCCGTTACAGTGTTTTATGAGGTCAGATTTAATAACCCGCAGTCAATACTGCACTCATTTTTCTAAATAGTTCACTTTGAAAGACTGATTCAAACTAGGAGTTAACTTGAATGGCCACAGCACTGCATTATTGTTTATTTTTTTATATTTTGCGGATCTTTGACTATTTAATCTGTTCCTTAAAATTTTATTAATAACAATGTTCAATAAATGATTTTCAACAAAATAGAGATGTAACACCTATCCAGTTTCTGAATGATGGTAAAAAAATCTTGTTTCTACCAGCAGCTGGGGGAGACTAGATTAGAAGATGGTTCAGAAAACCTGTTAGGACACATTTTTTTTCTAACACTAAGTATCAAACAAATGCTGATTTCTATTTCAGCAAATTATTCTTAAAATTTTTTTTTATATTTTGAATAAATGTTTTGATGAAGATTTGAGATTCCTTTCACTGAATGAATGGTCACAAAGCTAGTGTTAAGCTTGAAGTCTCTGGCCAAGCTCACCTTTCAGGGTCCTGTTCTCCTCCAGCAGCCGGTTGATTTCAGCACGCCGGCTCTGACAGAAGTCACATTCTGTCAGCGGTGTCTGCTCAGCTCCATCCTCAGCTGGTGCTGGTGTCTCCACTATGGATAAAATAAGGACCTCTTTTAGCTAAATGTGCATCATGCAGCTGAAAAAGCCACAAAAGCAACATACGGCGTTGAATCTGCTGGCTCTGTAAGGCTTACCGGGTGGAACAAGGTCATCAATAGCTGTCTCATCCTCGCAGGTGTACTGTCAGTCCTTTGCCATTTTCTCTTTTCCTGTCTCTCATAGCGTGCAGTCTGTGTGGCCTTTATCTCAGTGTGGCCCAAGTGTAGTGATGGTGCCCAATCCGGATGTGAGGTGTACATTTCATTTGCTGGTTTTCCTGGTGACACAATTTAAAATTATTATCCACAGCAGCAGTGTTGAACACATATAGAACCATAATGTTATCAATGATCCTCAATATACACATTATTATATTGTATTATATGATTACATTACATTACAAGACGGCTGGTAAGCGCTAGGATCAGCAAAATTTATAAGTGGTGCTATGACAGCTGACAACCCTAAGGGTTTTTTTTGAAAATGGAGAGGGATGTCCCTGTCCTTGTAGGAACTGGCAGTGTGTTCTACCAAAGAGGATTAAATGCTATATCAACCAACGAGGATGAAAATGCTATATCAACAATCTCTGGGCGCGCGTTCATGCTTGTATGTGGTGCCACGGATGAAGGAAGGAAACACTGTAGGCTATAAAATAAAACCGTGCATCTTTAACTTACCAGAATGAAAATGCAGGGAACACACTCGCATTGACATCAGGATACTGTGGAAAGTTCTGTTCTGTCGTCTTACAGCCGCGATCCAAGCTAGCCGACGACTTTTTGTTATCTGTGAAACTTGGTCTCCGTGTTTGCGCCTCCAGGCAGGACAGCGGTGGAAAGTTATCCCATTTTGTAGGTTTTTCCCTCGGCGATCATGTGATGCGCTGTTACAGCCCACAATACAGCAACGGTTTACCATGGTTGAAATCAAGTTACGGTGAAATTAAACGAAATAAAACACGGCTGAGAGGGAGAACACAGGCAATAGTCTAAGGAAGCCGTAAAGTGCGCCGTCAACATGGTCACGACGACCAAGCCCTATTGCGAGGTAACGCAAAAGGTTTTGCGAGGGAACGCAAAAGGTTTTGCGAGGGAACGCAAAAGTTTTTGCGAGGGAACGCAAAAGTATTGCGAGGTAACGCAAAAATATTGCGAGGGAACGCAAAAGTATTGCGAGGGAACGCAATTGGGGCAGTCGGTGGGTGAGCGGTTAGGGTGTCAGACTTTGATCCCAAAGGTTACCGGTTCGACTCCTGACCTGCCAGGTTGGTGGGGGGGAGTAATTAACCAGTGCTCTCCCCATCCTCCTCCATGACTGAGGTACCCTGAGCATGGTACCGTCCCGCCACACTGCTCCCTTGGGGCGCCATTGAGGGCTGCCCCCTTGCACGGGTGAGGCATAAATGCAATTTCATGGTGTGCAGTGTTCACTTGTGTGTGCTGTGTCACAATGACAATGGGAGTTGGAGGAGTTTTCCCAAAGGGCTTTCACATTTCACAAAAGTTTTGCGAGGTAACGCAAAAGAAAAAAAATTCCCCATGTCCCCTAGGGGGCTCCGTAAAAAAGGGCATTTTGGTTGGATATAATTTTTTCTTTAAATACACTTAAGTTTCCCATGATGCAATGCTGCTTTAGCAAAGCTAAAGTAAACAAAGAATGTGTTCCTCCTTTCCCTTCATTTTTTCCTTTTCCTTGTAAAACTGCAACAATGAAACACGATACATATGAAGGATATAAATCTGTTTGTTGTGTAAAACTATTTTAAAACACATTGGAGAGTTATTTCTCACACTATTTTTTCTTCAGCGCCAAAAGTGTGCTCAGTATGTGACGAGTCATCTCAGTCTGGTTGAGCAGAGGGGGAGGGGAGGCAGTCACCCACATAGTGAAAGGAGGGAGGGGGAGACAAGAGAAAGACAGGAAGGGGCCACAAGGAGAGTTGACATAAATGTTTTATTTTATTTAGTAGATAAGTCTGGAAAACATTTAAGTTTCATATGGTCACGTTTTTCTATTTAAGTATAATTTAGCAGATTGTAATTAAAGCAATATTAATATACCAACATGAAAACGTCTGTCTAATTGAGCAATACAAAGACCCCAAGAAGTATTTAGGTGCCAAAGGAACCATCTCATTTTAGTGAGCCAAGCTAAATGAGCTAGTTCTTTCAATCAAAGGCTACGTTCACACTGCAGGCCTTGATGCTCAATTTTTATTTTTTTATTTTTTTTGTGAAATCTGATTTTTTTTTTTGCATTCCCGTTCGTATTTCCAAATATATGTGACTTGTATGTGATCTCCTGTATGAACTGCTGTCATACAACACAGGTGTCCTGCATGCGCAGTAGAGGATGCAATGTCACAGCCCAGCATGCTCATGCCGGCGTGCATCTAGCGGTCTTATCCAAGCATAAAGACACATTCTTTTCGATATGGTTAAACATAAATATTGCTCCCCGCATCATCATCCGCAATGGTTGTTGTTTTTCTTGCCGCTTCTGCCTAGCAAGACGCATAATAGTGACCTTTGTCGGGTATAAATGACATTCAGGTAGGATGAATATGACCTGGCCATTCACACAGAGGTCGCATTTGAAAAGATCAGATTCGTATTGGATTCAGGACCACAAAGCCAAGTGGCTATTGGAAAAAATCGGATGTGTGTTGTTCAGACAGCCATGAAAATATCCGATCCAGGTCACATTTGGGCAAAAAAATCAGATTTGGGTAACTTCAGACTGCAGTGTAAATGCAGCCAAAATGAATTTTTCATGACTAGAACAAACTCTGATCCATAATGATGATTACTGTTTGTAAACATTGTTTCTGACCGTCTATCCCTAATGAACCTTCAAAGGAAATCCCAGAAAAGCCCAAACAGTCTCCCACTACCAGAAAATAATGTACATATTAGGCCCTAGTGAGATATTAGTGACATACTTAGCTGATATCATTTAATCTAAAGAAAAATCAACAGCTCCCAGATATTTCTATACACAAAGAATAGTATGGGGAGAGCTATGCATTAGTAATTTGGCAATCATTCCATTTTCTTTTAACAGATTATCAGGGGAGAGCGCGTATGCTGTCCCCCACTACCACAAATTATGCAGTCGAGATTCCCACATTTGGGGAATTCGCAGGCGTCGGGTCGACAGTGGTGCAATTCCTAACGTAGAACTGTAGAAACATAGAACTGTAGACTTTTAGCCAATCGGAGCGCCGCAAACTGTAGAAACGTAGAACTGTAGACTTTTGGCCAATCGGAGCGTCTGGCTCGTAGAGCGATCAACCCCCTATGGGGAGAGCCAATCAGGGTTCGCGAAAACTTACCTTCTGACCCGTCGTTCAAATCTCCGCTAGCTTACGGCTACAACCGATTAGATATTACTACGTTGACGTGAGTAAGGAGAAAAAAATAAAAAAACAATCGATCGGAAAATTCCAGATTGATTTTTCGATCGTTTGGCTGCTTTGTAGTTGATTTTTCCTCTCGTCCGTTCTCTTAATTTGGAGAATTTAGAGCTAGTCGGCTAACGCGATCGGCCTCAAAAAGTTTTCTGCTTTTTAAAGTTTGAATCAATGATAATATCGGTTAGAAAATAGCATTCTTAATATACTTTATTTTTTATTTTTTAGAGACGTCTTTCACATCGTTGTTTTTTATATCCTGGACGATCACGGTCAAGGTGGGTCAACATCACCCTTCCCCCACCTCTGGAGCTTAGCAAATTTGGGGTTCTAGTTTTCAAAAAATAAATAAATAATTTGTTAAATATCAGAGCTTAATTTCTCCCTGTGATTTGCCTTGTTGGTGATGCTGCTGAACATTTATGCCAATGCTGAGGGAAAATCCTTTCAGCATAGAGTAGCTATACAATTGCATAAACCCATATATAGAGTTTTTTAATGATGGCCTTTTATTTATTTATTTTTTTCTTTTATATATAATGTTGCTTCTTTCCATTTAATTCCTTTTTTCTAATCTTAGCATAGCCTAATCTTAGTTATAGTAAAAGGGAATATTAATAGTTAATGTTTATCCTTCATTGACATATTACTTTGACAAATATTACTGTCATTTTGTGTACATAGAGTGTATACCAAACGAAATTTCGTTTAGTACTGCTTTCCAGATAGTACATTAACATTTCCATTCCATAAAGTGCAGCAATGATCAAATATAAACTGTGGGAGGAAAAAAAGATAATTCAAAATCTAATAAGTGGACCAAATATGGTCTAATAAGTGGTTCCTAAGAACATATATGATCATGTTCTTAGGAACCACTTATTAGACCATATTTGGTCTAATAAAAAAAGCAAAAAAAAAAACACAAAAGGGTTTCTAAATGAACTAATAAGTCCTAAGAACTTGATCATATAAGAATATATGATCATGTTCTTAGGAACCACTTATTAGACCATTCAGAAACCCTTTTGTGTTTTTTTTTTTTTTTTTGCTTTTTTGTGTGTGTCTGCATTCCTCCTTAAGAAAGTGAGGGTATATTACAAGTTAAAGCAACCCAAGACAATAAGATCCACATTAAAAAAAAAGAGTTCAAAACAAACTTGTACATCTAATATTGTTTTTGTCTTTAAATGTACCTGAAAACTGGCTCTGTGCAGACAGGTAAACATTGAAAATGTGAAGGCCCCGAGGTTGTTTACCACTAATTTAATATTTACAGTGTAACGCTGACATTGTGTGTTGAGATTAACAGTATATTTCTTTGTAGATGACAAGCCCAGTAATCCGGATTGTCAACCCAGATGCGTCTACAGACCGACAACAGGCCATACTGGTGGCAACCAAAGAGGCTCATCAGTTTCGTGACAGACAGCGAAGCTTCTCGACCCCCCCCATGGAGCTCCTGAACCGCCCGACTGCTTTGGCCCATGCAGAGAATCTCCTGAAAGCAGAGGGCATCTGAGCTCCGACCAGACAGCAGTGCCTGGGAAAGCTGGTGGTTCCCTTTGGCCAATATATGAATGCACCGTTCCACTGGCTTGTCTCAAATGATGTGGGCTACCTGAAATAGTAAGTGCTTCTATTCATATACAGCATGTTAATTGGTTTGGGAAAAATAATTGCATGCATAAGTAGATTTATAACCAGCACAACACTGGAGTGTGTTGATGACATCTATTAAGATCATTCTGTCCTCAAGTGTTTTTTTTTTTTTTTTTTTTTTGCATAACAATCTGTATATATTTTCAGCATTCTAGATAAGCACAGGGAGGAGATGTCTAACCCAATGAAGAAGGGAGAGGCTGTCAATCAGTGGCTTAAGGACCTTCTCACAGAATATGCTGAAAGTTTCCCACAGACCTCTGATATCCTGGAGGCAAATATAGATAATTGTATCTATGGACAGAAGGGATTGGAGAACTACACCTTCAAGGAGATGTGGGGACTTTACAGCCAGTATTCTTTGGTTAAAAAAAACCCAGCGAATTTCACCAAAAGTGAGACGGACAAAATTCACAAGGCCTGGAGCTCAGTGAAGAGGTGGCTAAATACTCCAGTGACCCATATTTCCAGTGTCCAAATGAAGCGCTTCAGGAAATACATTTACGAGAAGGAGCAACTAAGTGTTAGGAAATAACACAGATCATAATAAAAAATATTTTTGTGGTTTTAACAAAAAAAAAAGAGAAAAAGAAACAAAAACAAACACTATTTGTACCTTTTTAAATATAATTTGTGTGGTGGAAAATCATTTTTTTTCTCAATTTTTACTCACTGTTCAGCAACCAGAGGTCAGTGTCTCCCAGCAATGTCCTACTGCATGGCCGGAGGATGAGGCTGAGATGGTGGCTGCTTGCCAGTCTGTGGAAGGTAAGTTACACAATCAGTTTGGTATGGGGAAACATACTTTCAAAGTCCTGCTTATGTTTACAGTATTTTCCCTGATTATTCTTAAGACTTGATCCAGTCACATAAAACTGAGCCCACGAAGAAAGTCAGCTCCTTCCGGGATCTTTTTAATCCTACGAGCCTGCCCAAGCTGACTGAGACATCCCTTAAGCCACGATCCTCAACAGAACAAAGGCACCTGCAGTCCTCCACAGAGCCCGAGCCCCCCGACTCCCCCACACAGCAGAGAGAGATCCTGTCCTCCAGGCAGTCCAAGCCAACCCACTCATTAAAGCACAAGCACAAATCAAGTGTCCCACACAGACAGCAGCCTGAAACTCCAGCCGTACCTTCCACCAAATCTCTTCCTGCACCTCAGCATGTAGATAATCCACTCCAAGCAACTCCTAGTGACTCTGATGTAAGTTGCATTTATATAAATAAAAAGTCTTTATTAGTTTAAATCCCATCAAATGAGGCAACATTTACAATAGTTCTTCATATCCTGTGTTTGTGTTACAGGTGGAGTTAGAGGGGTGGGTGAGAAATTGGGAAAACCCTAACGGCATTCCCACAGCTGACATTTTCTGGCTGAAGGAGGACACAGAGAGGGGTCTGTTCACACCTGTTCAGACTTACAAAGACGTCACCGGATTCTGCAAGAAAAGGAGGGTGCTAAAGTCTGACAGGATGTGGTTTTATCCTCCAGAACCTCCAGCCTTTGTAGGAGGTACTCTGACTGTTCCACATTTGTTTTTCCGCAGGCCTGTCTTCCTATGGCGCCCTGTGGGAGTCTGGAGATGTTCCCTGAAGTGTCCTCGTGGGGATGACTGTGTTGGAAAGGGGCGCAACGTTTTCCTGTATAAGTCAGGCTACCACCAAAGGGTATACCTCACTAACTGTTTTGTTGCTAAAAGTATTATGACTCAATAATAGATCCATTCTGTCTACAAATGCTAAAGCTTTCCTGTATTTTAAGACCTCTCTCATTTGTTTCATATGTACTCCAGGTACGTCATATTTGTGATGTATCTAGCTTGTACACTATGCTGACGGAGGTCTTGTGTTGCGGGCCCTGCACAAAGGCAGCAAGGAGCGGAGATGGAGGCACCGTGGGAAGATGGCTTGCATGGGATCCAGCCATTTTACAGCAGCTCAGTGAGGCTCATCAGGCTATGTTCCCCACTATCCTCACCAGCAAGTGAGTACACACTGGAATGTGGGCATGTTTCCTTCTTCAAAACAGTTTTCTAAACATTAACAAACATACACTCCACAGGCGTGGTGTGGACAAGAAGGTGGTGCGTCTTCTGCGAGACCGCACAGAAGGAAACACCATGGCGAAGGTGTGGAGGCAGATCCAGGAGAACCATGTGGAGGAGCACCTCCATCGTCTGGATCTCTACACCACACTGCTCATGTCTGTCGCGAAACATGGAGGGATCATTGGTGCGTTTGGCCATACTTTCCAGCCTCCACCTCCTCAGAGAGAGCTTCCATCAGCCCGTCTTTTGCCACACGCCTTTCTGCTGACCGGAGGCTGAAAACGTGCAGGACTACAGGAAGCAGATCCTCTCCACTTTTGGCACTGTGCTGAAAATGGATTCCACCAAGAAAGTATGTAAACCAAAACATGACGCTACACTTAGATAAATAAAATGGGATTAAAAATACTATTAATTAAAAAAACAAAACAAAAAAAAAACATTGGGAACGTGTTTTTTTTTTTTTTTTGTTATAACCCAACTCTGTTGTTCTGTTAAAAGTAAAGAAGAAGAATCTACTGACATGAGATTTCTTTCCTCTTATGCTCTTCTAGGTAGTAAAGAAGCTGTCTGGTGAAGGGCGGCACTCAGCTGAGTGGTTCACCAGCATCGGGAATGAGCACTCACAGATCGTGTCTTTTGTGCTGACTTGTGAGGAATCCAAGGAGAAGCTGGAGCCAATGTGCAGCGGATTGATGGAGAGATACAAACTGGCTGGCCAACCTGTCCCGAGCATCCTGTACGTGGACCGTGGCTGCTGTCGTGCTCAGGGACCAACAGCAGTGGAGACCTTGTTCCAGCCTTGGGTGGACAGCGGGATGGTGGTACGTCTCGATATCTTCCATTGGATTCATCGTTTTGACGCCGCCATCCGAACAGAATCCCACAGCAAATATGCCACGTTCAAGTCTGCGATCGCCAGGGCAGTTCTGGCATACAACCGGTCCGACCTGGAGCTCCTCATCCGGGCCATTAAAGCCAAGGACCTGGTGGCATTTGAGTCTGTGACAGATGAGGATGTTGTTCGCCTGTACATCACCAGGGATCAACTGAAACATCATGTCCGAAGAGTCACACTCGGAGCGCAGGAGACATTCAGGCTGGTCCACAAGGCCATCGAGGAACTGAAAGGTCCTGCAGGGCTGGATGAGAGCGGGGTTAGCCTCTTCAAAACACCTGGTATGAAAACTAAAAAGCAAATTCTGACCAACGAGGCTCAGAATGAGTCAAAATTAACCTCAACTGTATATGTGTCAATGCATATTTACAGAGGCTATTGACGAATTGTGGGCGGCACAGCAGCGACATTTGGAGTGCATCCAGGATCCACCAGACCAACACATGTACAGGGTGGCTCACACAACTACCATCAACAACGTTGACCTGCCCTACTAAAAATGTGTGCGTGGGAACAACAGCCTGGAGGGATTCCACAAATCGCTGCCAACCATGATTCCTGGTATGCAGCAGGAGTGTGAAAAATCTTAGCATGAAGTGATTAATTAAAATGTTCTTAATATTTTCTCCCTGTGTTTTTTATTTTCAGGTCCACACTGTGCAGCACGGCCTTATCAGGTTTACCTGATCAGCGGCATTGCGAGGTGGAACGCAGATCGTCGCTCTCAAGCTGTGTTTGGGGTTAAAGGACAGCGACTCAGCACCTACTCTGCGCCCCTTATGGCTCGCCTCAACCACAACTATCGGCACCTGCCGATGTCACCTACCTCTTCAGCCAGAGTACAGGGGAATCTGCTCCCTTCTCCCTTAAGGACATCATGCTGGATGGTCCTGATCCTGATGAGGAGGTGGTTCAACCTGGGCAACCGGAACCAGACGAGGCCTATGAGAGTGACCCAGAGAACTCGGCTGAGATCCTGGTTTCTGCTTCGCCTCACATCATGCTAACCAGTGCAGAGACGGCGACGGTTCAACCTCGAGCCTTTGTAAGTAGCTGTTCAGTAGTTTCCCAATGCCGTTTATTTTATGCCGAAGTTCTGTAATCAAACGGCTTTAAATGAGCAAATACGGGCGGTTTCATTTGACAAAAGAAGCAGAAGTCAAGTTACATGCAACAGTGAACAGAATTAAAGCATGAAACGGATCTAACATTTCTGTGTTTCTCTTTGGACAGGAAGATGTCTGTGGTCCCAGCCCCCTTCCTGGGTATCAGCAGCTGGAGAAGTTCTGTTCGGTGCTGATCGACGTCGGTCTGACTGACGAAAAGCTGTCGCTCAGCACCCAGCAGAGAAACAGCATCCTGGAGGCGTGGAACAAAGTGGAGGAGCATGATAAGCAGCCCCAGAAGTTCAGCCAGCTGTACAGGACTCACTGGGGGAATACGCTGTACTGCAGGACAAAGCGGGACGACCTTGTGGACGCTGCTGTGATCCAGAAGGTGAAGATGTCCAAGAGATATGCGCCAGCACAGCAAAACATCAGTGCACAGAACAACAGACTGATGTATGTTCTTGTGAAGCTACTGTGGCTGAATGCCCCTCAGGGATCACGCAGCACCAGTCCAGAGAAAAAAAACATCTTGAAGGCATATGAGAGGATCCAGCACCGCGTTTTGGTGGAGGACCCGATCCTGAGCAGAGCTGGGATCCCTCTGCCAAAGATAATACATACAGCGGCAGGAGCGGATCCTCAACACAAATTCCACCCCGCAGCCCTCCTCCATCATCAATAAACTGCAGTCCATTTCCTCAGCAGACCTTCCTCCAGCACCTCATCAGCCTGCTGTCCTCCCTACACCAGCCTACCCATAGATTATGTATGAGCCCACACCCAGCACAGCAGGAACTAAAGTTCTAAAAGGCAGGACAAGTTAAATTATGCCCACCAACCCCCCTTCACAGCAGACTCCACATATTGATAAACCTGTCACCTCAACCAGCTCCACACCTTTACCTGGGCCTTCTCCATCTTCCTCCTGCTCCTCTGTAGCCTCCTCCTCCACAGCCTCTGACATGGCAGGCCCCTCCACGCACCACACTACCGCTGCCCAGCAGGTGATCCCTGATGTCTCTTCAGCTGGCACAGCTAAAGAGCCAAACTGGTCAAGAGCCACACTGTACAAGCGGAAGTTGAAGGAAGATCTCAAATCAATCGGATTGAAGATGCACAAAGTGGACAAGTTGCCTCTTTGTACAGTCTGTGGCCAACACCTACAGGGCCATAAAAAAAAATAAAAAAAAATTCATTTCCCAATAAAGAGATTCAACACTAAAGGCCCTACGGATGTAACATTATGCTTTTTACCCGTTGTACCCCAAAAACCCTGACTTTGGGGCATTATTTTTGCAAAGTTTAAAAAATTTTTATAAGTTTTTTTGCCCTTTCAGCGTTTAAAGAATTTAATCAACCCCTTTTAAAATTTCCCCAAACCATTTTACTTTACAGTTTAAAACTTTCAAGCAAATTTTACATAGTTTCTTTTTTAAATTCCGATTATTTAAATAACCTGAAAATTTCAGTTTTTATACTTTAAAATATTTTTTAATACACTTAAAGGTTTTATTGTCAATTTCAGACTATTTAAAATTTTTTTTTTTTAAAAAACTTTTAAAAAATTTCCCCCCCCCCAAAAAACCCCAAACCCCAAATAAAAAAAATTTATACAATAAAAGCAAAATTTTACCTTCCCTTTAAATTTTAAATATTTCCAAAAAAACCCTTAATTTAATATTCCTTCCCTTATTTTTTAAAAATTTTTAATTTAAAAACCCAATTTTTGATACCTACTTAAAATTTTTTTAAAATTGAAAAATTTAAAAAATTTAAAAAAAATTTTTTTGTTAATTTTTTTAAATATTTCAAAAAACCTTTTAAAAAATAAACATTTTTATTTTTATACTTTTTCAAGCAATTTACACTCTTTTATTGAAATTTTTCCCTGACCAATTAATGTACGCCCCCTTTATTTTTTTTACATCCTTAAATACTTGAAACATATTTTTTGATACTACTTAAAGTTGTTTTTATTGTTCAATTTCAGACATGTTTAAAGTAGTACTTATGCTTAATCTTTGTAAATATTTCACAAACCATTTTACTATTACTTTTGTTTATTTTTATACTATTTCAAGCAAATTTACATAGTTCTTTATTGTAAATATTTCCTGACTTATTTAATAGTACATTCCTGTATTTATTTACATGTCTTTTATACTTGAAACATATTTTTTGATACTACTTAAAGTTGTTTTAATTGTTTAATTTCAGACATATTTAAAGTAGTACTTATGCTTAATCATTGTAAATATTTCACAAACCATTTTACTATTACTTTTGTTTATTTTTATACTATTTCAGTTACATTGTTCCTTATTGTAAATATTTCCTGACTTATTTAATAGTACGTTCAATTATTTTTCCAGAGTGAGTGAGAACTTTCATCACTGCAACGTAGATGCATGAAAGGATGAGCAGTCAAATCCGTGAAAACACAGAAGTGCAATGGCTGAGCCTCACCCTGGGTGAACCACCTTCTTGATCATGGTATCTCCCCTGCCAGGTAAGTATGAGTTGCTCAGCTCACACACCGGGATTCATTTCACACACACACTTAAATGACTAATGGTCTAAATACACCATCAACTAGCAGGACCATGTAAAGCCTGATGGCAGCCATCCTACACCAGTTAAAGTCTTTCTGACCAGCTTTAGTGTAAAAATTGACATTTCGGTTGGATTTCTTTTTTTTACAAATACACTTAGTTTACCCATGATGCAATGCTGCTTGAGCAAAGCTAAAGTAAACAGACAAAGAACGTGTTCCTCCTTTCCTTTCCCTTCATTTTTTCCTTTTCTTTGTAAAATAGCAACAATGAAACATGATAAATATGAAGGATATAAATCTGTTTGTTGTGTAAAACTATTTTAAAACACCTTAGAGAGTAAGAATATAAACAATAATGAGCTTGTTTTACTTGTAGTACAGCCACTTCCGGTTTTCTTTGTTCAGAAACAGGTCTGGTGCTGCCCCCTGCTGGAATGGTTGGTGAAGAGTCTGCATCTGAGAGAGAAAACCAATTAAAAACCATCTGAAAACTGCTTTACAATTTAAAGAGTAAAGCAAAAAATAAGGGCACCCTTATTAATCTTAATTATTTTCATTTCTAAATATTTGGGTGTTTGCAACAGCTATTTCAGTTTGATATATCTCATAACTGATTGACACTGTAATATTTCAGTTTAAAACAAAATTTGACAGGTGCAAAAATATGGGCACATCAGCAAAAAAGAGACATTAATATTTAATAGATCCTCCTTTTGCAAAAACAGTAGCCTCTAGTTGCTTCCTGTGGCTTTTAATGAGTTGCTGGACCCTGGATGAAGGGATTTTTGACCATTCTTCTTTGCAAAACAATTCCAGTTCAGTTAAGTTTGATGGTCGCTGAGCATGGACAGCCTTCTTCAAATCATCCCACAGTTGTTCAATGATATTCAAGTGTGGGGAGTGGGATGGCCATTCCAGATCATTGTAATTCTTCCTCTGCATGAATGCCTGAATTGATTTGTTGCAGTGTTTCTGATCATTGTCTTGCTGAAATATCCATCCCTGGCGTAGCTTCAACTTCGTAACTGATTCTTGAACATTATTCTCAAGAATCTGATGATATCGAGTGGAATCCATGCAACCCTCAACTTTAACAAGATTCCCAGTGCCAGCATTGGCAACGCAGCCCCAAAGCATGATGAAACCTCCACCAAATTTTACAGTGGGCGGCAAGCATTTTTCTTGAAATACTGTGGGGTTTTTTTGCCGCCATGCATAACGCCTTTTTTTTATGACCAAACAACTCAAACTTTGTTTCATCAGTCCACAGGACCTTATTCCAAAATGAAGCTGGCTTGTCCAAATGTGCTTTTGCAAACCTAAAGCGATTGTGTTTGTGGCGTAATTGCTGAAAAGACCTCTGTTGCATCACTCTTCCATACAGTTTCTTCTGGTGCAAAGTGGGCTGAATTGTTGAAAGATGCACAGTGACACCATCTGCAGCAAGATGATGTTGCAGGTCTTTGGAGGTGGTCTGTGGGTTGACCATTCTCACCGTTCTTCTTCTCTGCCTCTCCAATATTTTTATTGGTCTGCCACTTCTGGGCTTAAAGCTGAAGTCTGTAAGTTTTTAAAAATCACTTTTTTTGTCATATTGGCTAAAACTGTCCCTATGCCCAGACAGCAGTACATGTGATATGTAACCTGTGAAAAAAACTGCTTCAATTGGTACCGCCTACTGCCTGTATTTCAATCTGGAAAGAATAATTCGGGACGAGTCAAAACAACCAATCACAGCCAGAGGAGCGTCTGATGGAGTGTCAATCACAGCTCACACACGCTGAATCCCCCCCCCCTTCTGGTCGCATGCGGTAGCCGCGCAGATGCTGTGAGAGGGGTGGAGCTTGGAGGTGGGGCATGAGTGAAGCAGAGAGGGTGGGGGAGTGGCGTGAAACCTGTTTTTCTTCAAATTTTCAGTTGAAGTCTGCTCTCTCCTCAATGTTACAGACTGCAGCTTTAACAAGAACTGTCCCTGTGGTCTTCCATTTCCTTAATATGTTCCTCACAGTGGAAACTGACAGTTTAAATCTCTGAGACAACTTTTTGTATCCTTCCCCCAAACAACTATGATGAACACCCTTTGTTTTCAGATTATTTGAGAGTTGTTCTGAGGTGCCCATGATGAATCTTTAGAGGAGATTCAAACAGGAGAACAACTTGCAACTGGCCACCTTAAATACATTTTCTCATGATTGGATACACATGGCTATGAAGTTCAAATCTTAATGAAGTTACCAAACCGATTTTGTGTTTCAGTAAGTCAGTGAAAAGTAGCTACGGGTATTCAAATCATTAAAATGATTAGGGTACCCACATTTTTGAACCTGTCAAGTTTTGTTTTAGTGCGTCTTGCACATTTTCTGGTAGTCCAATAAACCTCAATTCAATACTGAAATATTACCGTGTCCATCAGTTATTAGATATATCAAGCTGAAACAGCTATTGCAAACACCTAAATATTTATACATGAAAATAATTAAGATCAATAGGGGTGCCCAAACTTTTTCATATGACTGTATAGCCATTCCTTTTTTTTAATGGTTAATATTGATCTCAGGGCTGGATTACTAGTATGAGTGCTAGTAAATAAAGCAATATAATATACCAACATGAAAACGTTTGTCTAATTGAGCAATACAAAGACCCCAAGAAGTATTTAGGTGCCAAAGGAACCATCTCATTTTAGTGAGAAGCTAAATGAGCTAGTTCTTTCAATCAAAGGCTACGTTCACACTGCAGGCCTTGATGCTCAATTCCAATTTTTTATTTTTTTGCAAAATCCGATTTTTTTGCGTTCCCGTTCATTTTTCCAAATATATGCAACTTGTATGTGATCTACTGTGTGAACTGCAGTCATACAACACAGGTGTCCTGCATGCGCAGTAGAGGACGCAATGACGTCACAGCCCAGCATGCTCATGCCGGCGTGCATCTAGCGGTCTTTTCCAAGCATAAAAACACAATCTTTTCAATATGGTTAAACATAAATACTGCTCTCCACATCATCGTCCGCCATGGTTGTTGTTTTTCTTGCCGCTTCTGCATAGCAAGACGCATAATAGTGACCTTTGTCGGGTATAAATGATGTTCAGGTAGGATGAATATGACCTGGTCGTTCAGACACAGGTCGCATTTGAAATGATCAGATTCGTATCGGATTTAAGACCACATAGCCAAGTGGCCTGGGTCGCACTGGCAAAAATCGGATCTGTTTTGTTCAGACAGCCATGAAAAGATCCGATTCAGGTCGCATATGGGCAAAAAAAATCAGATTTGGGTCATTTCAGGCTGCAGTGTGAACGTAGCCAAAATGAAGTTTTCATGACTAGAACAAACTCTGATCCATAAAGATGATTACCATTTGTAAATATTGTTTCTGACTGTCTATCTCTAATGAACCTTCAAATGAAATCAGAGAAAAGCCCAAACAGTCTCCCACTACCAGAAAATCGTGTAAATTTTAGGCCCTAGTCAGATATTAGTGATGGAGTTAGTGAATATCGTTTAATGTAATGATAAATCAACAGTTGCCAGATATTTCTATACACAAGGAATAGTATGGGGAGAGCTATGCATTAGTAATTTTGCAATCATTCCATTTTCTTTTAACAGATTATCAGGGGAGAGCGCGAACGCAGTCCCCCACTACCAGAAATTATGCAGTCGAGATTCCCACATTTGGGGAATTCGCAGGGGTCAGCACAACCGGAGTGCAATGGCTGAGCCTCACCCTGGGTGAACCACCTTCTTGATCATGGTATCTCCCCTGCCAGGTAAGTATGAGTTGCTCAGCTCACACACCGGGATTCATTTCACACACACACTTAAATGACTAACGGTCTAAATACACCATCAACTAGCAGGACCATGTAAAGCCTGATGGCAGCCATCCTACACCAGTTAAAGTCTTTCTGACCAGCTTTGGTGTAAAAAAGGACAATTCGGTTGGATTTCTTTTTTTTACAAATACACTTAGTTTACCCATGATGCAATGCTGCTTGAGCAAAGCTAAAGTAAACAGACAAAGAACGTGTTCCTCCTTTCCTTTCCCTTCATTTTTTCCTTTTCTTTGTAAAATAGCAACAATGAAACATGATAAATATGAAGGATATAAATCTGTTTGTTGTGTAAAACTATTTTAAAACACCTTGGAGAGTAAGAATATAAACAATAATGAGCTTGTTTTACTTGTAGTACAGCCACTTCCGATTTTCTTTGTTCAGAGAAACAGGTCTGGTGCTGCCCCCTGCTGGAATGGTTGGTGAAGAGTCTGCATCTGAGAGAGAAAACAAAACCATCTGAAAACTGCTTTACAATTTAAAGAGTAAAGCAAAAATAAATTGCTTTAATTAACCACTGATTATGTAGCTCTTTAAAGCTAAAAAAGAACCTTGGAAATCATCATACTCAAACCGCAAAAGATTATAACCAATCTAAATTATTACATTCATTTCTGTAACTATTTTTTTTTTTATTAAAATTAGATAAAACTCAGAGATGACCCAAGTTACTTCTCCCATAATCTGAAGTCCTCACTGGTTACGGGAAGGAGAAGGAGCTGGTTGTTAAAATAACTCTCTTTTGAAAGTGCCTATTACTCTAGCTCCTGGAAACTAGTAGCTTCTGCTTCTTACTGACCAGATGTGTTCTTCTCTTTCACAGTTGTTCAGTGGCCATCTTTCTCTCATCCCACTGGCGGAAAAACTGATCCACAAGATGCTGCGAGGCCAATAATCCTCACATTATGGCAAGAAGAGCATTCCAGGTTTCCATCTTGGGCATATAGCCCTTCCTTTTTATTTTCAAATGGTTAATATTGATCTTAGGGCTGTATTACTAGTCTGCACATTGAATATATACTGTTACATCCTCAACTTTCTGGAGCTATAACAAAAAATGTGTGGTAGTCAGTTCCATGCCTTCACAGTCATCCATCAGTTTCCAGTAATTTCCTAGAATCAGCTTCAAGCTGACCTTTAATTTAGTAAAACTTCAATCAATATCAACCAGCAGGAGATCACAAGTAATTTGACTTTGATCAGGGGGTCATCACCGCTCATATTCTTAAAGAGCAAATTAGAATAAGCTTCTTGCCAAATATTGTTTTACACAGATGAGTAATTTGTTTTAGTGATTAAGTTTTCAACCTTGCCCTGCATGTTTTAGATGTCTAAGTCAAAGCGAACCTAATTCAAATAATCACATGATTTCCTCAGCAGATATCAACCAATGCAGATGCCTGTTAATTATTCATATAACACAGGTGTGTGGCAGCAGGTGAGATATCTAAAACATGCAGGGCAGGGGGTCCCTGAAGATAGATAAACACTCAGACAGACAAGGCTACAGTTGACATTTATACATTTAGAAATCTATAATGTGAAATGCACAAATGCTAGTTCTATAGGAATGGTTTGAGAATAGATAATAATTGTGCAACTATTTATTACCTGATCATGTTGCACTAATGAGTACTAATTTGTTATTAAATATTAGCCACTTTCTTCCAATAAGGAAGAAAGACACTTGCCTTTACTGCGATAGCACCTCTCCTAGGACGAGTGCTGCCCAATTCCTCGTCACCCTCTTGATGCTGAAGCATAGTTTCACACCACTTCTGGCCATTGGGCTCTTCTTTAGGAGGAGTAAATTAAGTCTGAGACCTGTCAAAGCAAAAATAAGTTTTCTCTGGTTATAAATTCATGAATTTAGAGAAATATTATTTTCTAACTTTAAGCCCAACCACTTTCTGTTTGTTCCCAAACTCTTCCTTCTGCATTGTGCTGGCTAGGAGGGACAATCTTAGCCTCGTGAGACCATCCTGATCTCGCGAGCAAATCCATCTGGCGGAGTCAGGTTAGGACAATCTTTGAACTGTGGAAAAACTTAAAAACAAAACCAGAGAATGAAGCACAGAGTATATAAAATACAGGAAATAAAAGCCAAAGATGGAATCAAAAATGTTACCAGAGGTGATTTTTGTGAACTGTAAGTTTGATGGCACTATAGCATATAGAGGGTAGTTATTTTAAAAGTTAATCAATGTTAAGAGTTTAAATATTACTTATTTAAATATATCAAACTGCTTAAATTGAAAGCCCTTTATTATATATATTATATTATAAGCCCCTATATTATATTATTAAAGAGCAAAGTTATTTTTATTCAACTTTTTTTTCTATCCTAGCAAAAGAGACTTTACTGAATATTTTGCTATTTAGGCTTTAGGAAAGTCTTGAGATATTTTAAAAGTATTATGTTTAAATCAAATAAATGTTGCATGAAAGAAGTGAGACCACATTCAAATAAAATGATTTGGCTATACACCTCTCCTTCGTGACTCCCAGTGCATTATTAGGATGGTTTGTTGTAAAATGCCATTATAGCACATTGCTGTGGCTGCAGAGAGTAGTATGTTTGTGAATATCTTTCTAACATTATTAGAAAGTTTTTATTTTATAATTATTTTAACCAAAACACCACTAAATCTTTTAGAAAATCTTATTAACTACTAAAAATATATATTTCACTATGCTCATCAGAAAATAAAAATGGTCAAATGGTCATAAAGGAATTATACCGAGCAGAACAGCAGTCTAGAAAATGAAATAACGAAATGCAATTTAAACCTTCAAGCATTTTTATATTAATTAAAACATTAATTAAACATTTCTAGATATGGAAGTGATATCTAACTTTAACCTACTTCTGTGTGTCAGCTGGAAATAACTGGAGGAAATGAAGCAGCACGAGGAGCCTTAAATGGCGTCGCAAAAGCGCTAACAACCTCAGTGATATGAAGCTTGAATTAAAAACTAGGATATTTTGACATTAAACCAAACAAAGCAACATAGAAACAAACTTATAAAAGGAAATTCTCACCAATTAGAAAACGGTTTTACCTACATGTCATTGAATTTAGAGCCAAATTGTGTTAATGAGCTTCAGTTAATGCCAGTCCCAAGTTTCAGGGGGTTGCCAGATTTGCTTAATAAATTACCAACATTTTATTCAATCCGGTTTAAAAAATCAAATTTTCTGCTGTCATAGTTATTTTTTAGACAATTTCGGAGAGGCAGATGGCTTTAAGTTTCACCAACAGAGGACTAAAGATATTTTGTACTCCATGCTAAACCTCTTTATTTTAGTGTTATTCAAACGAATAAACGCTCCCCACCTCTGCTGGTGTTACAGAGCTGGATAGTATTATTGCCCAGTCCAAAAATCAGCAGTGGCACAAAATATCTGTTACAATCCCCTGAAAATTGATATGAATTTAAACAATGTTCACAATAATAATACTATTTCCAAGCATTTATATTATTTTATACTAACTTTTTATAAGACAGGTGTGAAAATATTCTATGGGAATCTGCTCAACCTGCGTAGTCGAAGCCCCTCTATATGCAGTCAGAGGCACATGGAAAATAATCGGATAGGAGATTAAAAGTCGTGCACAACCGGTGTGACCGGGCCTTTATGAAGAAACCCCCACACTGGATGGAAGAGGAAACTGACCACAATTGTAGCTCCGGATCAGCTTTCCGTTCCTTTCTGGATATATATAGTTATGGAAAACATTATTAGACCACCTCTTGAACAGAAGTTGGAGAAAGAAAGGCTGGTATAATAATTTTTACCATTATAGTATTTTAGGTTTTCTCTATCAGCATGATGCCATATCTTAACATCAAGTAAAAGCATATTAGTAAAGGCCTTCAGGCTGGTGCATCTCAGTGTAGCTTTGCTAAGCTCTAAAAATGATTTGGAGCTTTTGTAATTGACCTTGATATATTTTAGTAAACAAGCACTTGAGTAAGAAATGACTATTGATGATTGGTTTTACTCCTCTTTAACACAGTGTGATTTATTATATTTTTACTTTTTTATGAGTTTCTCATAACAACCAGCCAAACATTGTGGAAATGCAGACAGGATTATGATGTTAGAAAAGCAATGATTGAGGATGGGTCATTTAATCCACTTTGTTCTGCTTGTTTGTTTAAATTGCCATCTGAACAATTCCTCACAGTTTCTGTTGAATGTTGTTTTATTTTGTTTAAAAGATTAACCTGTGTTTTCATTGAGCAGCTTTGAGAAGCATGCTAGGCTAGATTTTGGAGTAATTTTGGTTCAACAGTCCCATGCTCTGGGTTTATCATCTTTTTCTTTTGTACTTGTGTTACTAGCTTTAGAAGGAAATATTATTGGCTGATGTATTTTAATTTATAAATAAATTCAAATAGAAGTATTTTTCGTGTTTATTTTTGCGTAAAAGTGATTTCTCTCTGATCTCTGAGGAGGTACCATTCCTTTGGGTTAACCTTCTAATAATACAGTTACATTAATGATGTTCTTGGTCAATTGACAATTAAATATTTTTATAAAATATGGTAAAAGGTAAACTGTGGATTATATTAAGGATTATTAATCATGATTGTGATCAATTTTTACTACAAACTATTTCTTAAATCACAATTTCACAACAAAATATCTACTATACCACCATTAAATAGATAAAAATCGATTGGAAAAAGTGCAAAACTAAATGTTTTAGTGATTACAACACAAATCAGGCAGAATATGACTGCCATAGTTCACTCAAAGTTTTTCACTTAAACATTACAAAGGAACATTATCATTTAACAGGTAGAGGGGGGTGCACCGTTCCTGGAAGTACTGCAATACCAGGTCGATGCGTGGAGTGGACGGAGCAAGCCCCTATTCCATCTCCCTGTTCCAAAAATCAATTTAATATATGGTCCCCGGGTAGGGGACG